AGAGAGAGAGAGAGAGAGAGAGAGAGAGAGAGAGAGAGAGAGAGAGAGAGAGAGGGGTTTTATCCAAAAGTAGAAAGAACCTTTTTTTTTTCTTTTGTTGTTTTAGTTGTTCACGATTATAGGGAGAACTCACATATTCAGCGCTCTGATGTATATGGAACCACCCGCCCCACCTCCCGCTCCCTCCTGTCCATGAGTTCCATCTGCAGAAACGACTCCATCGAGAAGGAGGTCGCCGACCACCGTCAGATTTACGGAGCCTCCTCCCGGACCTCCTCCAGCGCCCGAACCTGATCCACCGCTTTGACTAGGTTCCATCAGCGAATCCCAGCCATACATCTCTCCTCCCCACGGATCGCATCCGAAACTACAGCTGGCCCCAAGACCCCCATAACTTCCGCCTTCCCCCCCCCCCCAACTTTCAAATTCCACGATCATAGCTCCAGGTCCCTCTCCCTTCCCCCCTTTTTCCAACCCTCCTCCTCCAAGTCCTCCCTTTTCCTCCTCCTCACCCTCCACTCTCTGCCTCAGATACCCACCACGAGCATCTGCCGAACCTGATCCCCTAGATAAGTCGAACGTCTTGCCTCCTCTCTCTCCTCCTCCTCCTCCTCCTCCTCCTCCTCCTCCTCCTCCTCCAATGAGGTAAGCGTCCGACGCAACTACAGCACGACCGACATCGATACTTAGTCTTCCGGCCGTTATCTTCGAGCCCGACTCCATGGCCAAGGTCCCGGCAAGCCGCACGGTGAGAGAGCACTCCTCTCTCTCCTCCCTCTCCTCCCTCTCCTCCCTCTCCCCCCTCTCTCTCTCTCCATCGGATGGAAACGACCTGCAGTTGAGAGAGGCCGACGGAGAGAGAGAGAGACTGCCGGCTCCTTCGATTATCGTTACTCCGGAGTGAATATTCACCTGACCATTCACAAGACAATGAGTGGAGAGATCCCCCACCCCTTGTAGATCTTCAACGCATCGCATCCGATTGGGATCTGAAGCCTCGGCCGCTGCAGAAAGCCCAAGGAGAGAAAGAAGACAGGTGGCCAAGCAGCAGGTGACAGCAAGGAGCCAGCAGCAGGTATCGAGACCACCAAGCGCGTGCAGGCCTCTGCAGGACGGCACGTACCCGCCGCCGCGACCTCGATGCCGCAGTTGCTCCCGCTCTCCCGAGCCCAATCCCTCCCCCTTTTCTCCCCCTCCACTGCCTCCTTCACCATCAGTTCGTCCATCACCACTACCAACCTCTCGCGCTTCTGACCTTGAACACCACATTCTCTCTCTCTCTCTCTCTCTCTCTCTCTCTCTCTCTCTCTCTCTCTCTCTCTCTCTCTCTCTCTCTCTGTGTGTGTGTGTGTGTGTGTGTGTGTGTGTG